CTTATCTTGCTAAATTCATAAATTATACTAAGATTAAGAACTATTACCTGAAAACTCAAAAGACAAGCTAGTGAACCATATTTATCAGAGCCTGAAGGTTCAGGTAGGTTCTGTATCACATCTTTTAAGGGTAAATGACTTCATATTCCAGAATTCCAGTGAGAATATAATTTTTTTCCTACCAACTGCCACACAATAATAAACTTATACCTATCAGCCCTAGAGAAGAGAAGGAAAATTTTTTTTAAATTTAGAAAGTAAAAACAAGCCTTCATTTCTAAAAAACTTTTAAAAGGGCTTTTACTAGATAACTTAAAAGACATAATAGGTTTTAAAAGTTTAAAAAATGTAGGCTACAAAATAAATGCAAATTTTCAATTGCTTTTTTTGTTGAATCCACTCTTACGATAGTACAAGTATATGCTTGGTGGCTTTGCATCTGTTAACCTGAATCTCATGATATTGCTTTTTCTGTCCAAATCCAGTTAGGGTGGACGACAAAAGAGATTCTTGTGTGAGGTTTGCAGAAGTGAAGCAGCAGTCATTTTGTAGCTCACGTATATTGCTGCTTATCTTCTAACCCACTTCACTGGCTTGAGGTAACAGCTGGACCTGCAACTGCTCCATCTTCTTCTGGATCCTCCTTTAAACTCTGACTCATGAGTCAAGTTTGTGTTTAACTCTGCAATGAAGGGCCCCAGCTTCTGCAGCGCATCTGTACCACCAAGGTCAGAGGCAGCAAGGGCTAACTTGGGTTTTAGGTCATCCTCATGAACTGTGCTTCTGCATTCTATCTTATCATGAATCTCCTTCATCTTCCCTTCCTAACTCTGCTCTGTGGACTTCAAGCTCCAGCATCAGATGCCAAGATGCAAAGATACAGAGACAGTTTAACCACCTTCCACAATTACGTAGGGTCAAATCTCTGTAACAAATTCCTTTATATTATCTATCTCTTTATCTCTATCTTGATTCTCGTGGTTTTGCTTCTCTGATTGAACCCTGATAGAAATTGGGATAGTGACAGTACAAAATGAAAAGGAGTCCTTTGACCCTGTGAAGACCATTGGCAGGAAGCAGGCTGAGAAAACTATTCAGCTGAAAACATAGGCTACCTTCCATGAAAAAGGAAGGATGACTCAGAGGGCAGAACTGAGATCGATGAAATTATTCCAGGTGAGAGTAGAATTTTGCACTAATCAACGAACTTCCACATTTTCCCAGTTGGATTTCAGAATTGCTGTGAACCAGTAATCTCTGTATACGTCTTGTTGTTCCTATCCCTTCAGAACAGGAATGTCTACAGTGGTTATCCTATGCCTGCCCCACTGTTGTTATGTGGGGAGCAGATAACTTGTCTTTTTACTTTGGTCTCTATATTGAGAGAACTGTACTCAAGGAGCTGTACTTAAGGAGCATCATCCATGCTTGGATTTGATTTAGATGATGAGATTCTGGATTTTGAGCTGATACTGTAATGGGATGAAGCTTTGCATGTAGCTTTGGGAGAGGATGGGTGTATTTTGCACTAGGATAGACGTGATTCATTGGGAGCCAGAGGGCTGACTATGGTAGCCAGCTTCCAATATGACTCCAGTGATTCTCATCTCCTGGTATTCACAGCCTTATGCAGTCCTTTCCCTCTGTATACCCAGTTTGGTCTGTGTGACCAACAGAAGATGGCAGTAGTAAATTATGCCCCTTCTGATATTAAGTCACAAAGACACTACAGATTCTGTCTTGGTTGTGCTGCCTTTTGGATCACTTGCTCTGAGGAAGCCACTTACCATGTCAAGAGGACACTCAAGCAGCCCTGTGCAAAAGTCCATGGAGTTAGCAGCTGAGGCCTTCTGCCAACAGCAAAGGGGAACAGAGGACTCCAGCCAATAGTACTGTGGTTGAACTTTCTTCAAAGCTGATCCTCTAGCTCTGGTCAAGTCTTTAGGTGACTGCAACCCAGCCTATAGCTTGACTGTAACCTCATGAGACTCTGAGCCAGAGCCATCCAGCTACACTGATCATGGATTTGCTGACCATCAGAAACTGGGCGAGATACTAAATGTTTGTTTTAAGCTAAGTTTTGTAATGTAGCAACAGAGAACTGACACAGTGCCTAAGTATAAAAATAATCTTTCTTCCACATTCCTATGAAAGCCAAATAAAGATAAGAGAGGCAGAGAAAAGTAAATTGTTTTAGCTCACTGTTTTCCTTCAATGCTCATTTAGATTCTTTTAAAACTAAGCCTATGGGCAAATAATTATTCAGCTAAGCTAAATTTGGAAAATGGAAGGAAGGGGGTTAGCTTTAGTTATATGGAAAAATATATATATACACACATACACACATATCTTCTTTGAACTGAAGAATTTACTTTTTTTTAAATTGAAGTACAGTCAGTTATAATGTGTCAATTTCTTGTGTACAGCACAATGTCCCAGTCATGCATATACATACATATATTCATTTCATATTCCTTTTCATTAAAGGTTATTGAAAGATATTGAATATAGTTCCCTGTGCTATACAGAAAAAACTTTTTTTGAAGGATTTACTTGTGAAAAGATAAATTATGAGATATTTTCCAGAATCTAGTCTCTTCTTGGCAGAATGGTAAGGAAGCTGCTGTCTCTGTCAGGTTCAGATTTAAAGTTTCATTTATTGTTCCTTTTTACAAAATATGACTAGTTTAAAGAATGTAAAGTATGATTTGATTTCTTTCCTACTTTTTGTTATAGAAACATTTGGAAACAAAAATATTTCTTCTAGCCTCTCTCTATTTCTCTTTGTGTCTTATAATCAATTTCAGTAACTTTAACAATAAACGTAAAAATGATAGAGTATACAAAGCATTGCCCAAGTGAATCCATCAGGAACCTGTGTCTGAGAATGGTTTCCTAAATAGGGGAAATGTGTTTCATACAAAGAGTCCATTTTCTGTTATTGCCTTTTTTATTTGGACTACAAGATGCTATATATTTTAAGGCAATCTTAATAGTTTCCTGTCTCTCACTAACAAGAATGACTTGTCATAATGAGCAGTGTAGACAGTGTCCATTTGATCCACTCCAGAAAGCTGTCTACTTGATACAAGAGTAAATCACCTCAATTCCTTTGTGGAATAGTGGAGTGTAAATAAATAAATGAGACACAAGAATAATAAAAAAAAATCTGGTCAGTTCTATCAGAAAGAAACAAAGGATAGGAACATTTGGATGCCTAGTTTAATAAAAAATGTGACAAGACAAAGAATTGTATTTGATAACTGTAAAGGGAGGAAGAATCCTCACTAATATGTCCATAAAATATTTTCTTCTTTCTTTAGGAAGGAATATAATTTTGCAGTTTAAGAATAATAATTCTCAATTCTTTGAAGTTGGAGGACCTATGTTGTAAAATGACTTTTTATTTATTTTTACCTCCACCCAAAAGAATTCTAATTTTCAGACTTTTTTTTTATAATTCATCACTCTAAATCTGAGTAGGAATTTCAGATTCCATTTTAGGGAATAAGTTTGTTTTGGGGGTCTTTTTTTGTTGTTATTTTGTATGTTTTACTTCAATTGTAAAGTTTTTGTCTTGTTTTTTTGTTTTGCTTTGAAAGAACTCCAAAATGTTTTAATTTTTCCTTTTATAATTAATGTTTGATATATTTCCTAGAGAATTACAAAAATGTCTTGCATTTGACTACTTAATTTTTTACTATTACTGTTTGAGATTGTTTTGGTATTAAAGTTAATAGAGCCATTACTGTGTTAGGTTTTGGGTTCCAGGTGGGGATGAAAGGTAAGTTATGACAAATCCTGTGCTCTGTAGGAACTGGAAAGTAGTAAAGTGATTCTCAAAATCAAATCTCAGGATGGTTAGTATCAGAACCACCTACTGGGCTTGTTTAAAATGCAGCCAGTCTGATCCCATCCTAAGCAGAAGCAGAGTTTCTAGGACTGGGACTTCACAATCTGCATTGTAATAGATTCTCTCTGTGATTCTAATACAAACTAGTTTAAGGACTATTGATCTAAAGAGGGTTGTTGGAGGATAGAGGAATAAACAATTTAACACTGCAACTGGAGCCACAATACAATCTTCAAAATACGACGGTAGCTCTGGGAAAGGCCTTTGCCATGGCAGTTCCTACCTGAATTTAAAAAAAAAAAAAAAATATATATATATATATATATATAGTTTTTTTTACACACACACACACACACACACACACACACACACACACACACACACTTTTATTTTAAAGGCACTAGAACGCGCCTTTCGGGGTTTTAGTGAAAACCTAAAAGAAGATTTAGAGATAGGAGACAATAAGCATTTGTTAGTTAAATGTTCAGGTTGAAGTAAACAGTTTTTATAATTCCATTCTACTAATCACCAGCAATTTTATTTTTGATGCTTATAAGAGGTAAAATGGTATCTGTCTATTTAGCTATCTGTGACTAGAATTCCCTGCTCTTCGTAGTGGGGTTAATCAGTCACCTCAAGAATCTGAATTAGGCACAAAGTAGTGTTAAGAGCCAATCAGAATGCTCCCTGGAGCGGTTGCAGGCTGGCTTCAATGGAAGGACTGGCGGAAGATGGGACTTTGTTACTATCATTCAATCGGACAAAGAAGACTATAATAGTTTAGGGCGGTCGAAAATTCCATGTGGGGTACTGAGCGAAGTGTTACTCCTTGGAGGGGCTGTTTAAGGGCCAGAAAGTCTCTTAATCGGGAAATCTGGAGGAATTTCAGATGCCTTAACTTCCGGGATGGTGGAGAAATGGCCAGCAGTTGCGGTGATACCAGTGGCCAAAATGGCGGCGGGGCGCTTCAGGGGCCGGATCAGGTGATGCAGCCCCAGTCCGCTCCCTTCCCACCAGGCGCTCCTCCTCCCGCGCCTCTACGTAGTGGTGGGTGTGGCCTGCCCGGAGGCTCTTTCAGAGGCTAGGAAAACCAAGGGACACACATGCGCAGTTGGGGTCCCTCCGGCCTTTCGGGCCTCCTCCCCGCCCATCTCTCCGCCCCGAATTGCCGGGCGGGGCTAGGCCGAGAGTCCAGCAGCTGTAGCGGGGCTTTAGTGACTTCCTTGTTGTGAGCTTCGGCCCGGCAGTGTCCGGACTTGTAGCCCCACTGTCCTTCCCGGGACCGCTAGCCCGAGTCTAGGTCGCAGCCGCAACCCCAGCCTGTCGGTTCCCCTTTCAGCACAGATCCTTTCCCCGCACGCCCCGCGCTCCCTAACATGCCCAACCCCAGCAGCACCTCCTCTCCCTACCCCCTCCCAGAGGAAATTAGGAACCTGTTGGCAGGTAAAAAGCGGGAAGGGGGCGGGTAACGCGGCTGGGGCGGGGGCGAGGGGACGGCGAGCGGGTGGGGACAGAAGCGTTCGGAGTCTCTTCCCTCATTCTCGCTCCCCACGTCTCCTGCCCAGAGGGAGCGGGACTGGGAGTAGGGAAGTGGGGTCTGAGAAAGGGAGTGGGCTGTGTGTTGAAATTTGGTGCGACGATGGTGGGGAAGCCCTTCTTAGTGGGCTGCACTAACGCGTCCAGGGCAATTGTGTTTCCGTCGGGAAGACGTCGTGTGGCGGGGGGTGGGAGGGAGAGAGGGAGGGAGAGAGAGAAAAGTCAAAGAACTAGTTCTTTGGTCTCCTGGCCGATGGAGGAGAAAGAGGTTCCTGAGCTACAGGGGTTAGGAGTTAGGGGTTATGGCACCAAAGGATGTGACATATCTATAACCCCCGTTTTTCTTGAACATTCAATCATATTTGAGACTTTCAAAGAGGGCCTGACTCTCAAATGGCCACTTGTCTTCAGCCTGAGTAACATTAAAACAAAAAAGGAAGGATGTGTTAAAGTCCAACTTCCTGTGTCACACGATGAAATTACAGTACTGTATCTCTGCACCCTCATCTACCCTCATCTTCCCCTTTTCGAGTTTTAAATGACCATTTACAGGAACTTGGGAATTAAAGATTAACTTTTCAAGGCTACTGTGAATCTACTACTAGTTCATTAATGTACTAGATATGGAGATATGTATTTTCACAAAGGGTCAATAAAAAATTATATTTCTGCCCAAGGTAGAAAATACATCTTTTTAGTGTAGCACATATCTTACCTATCCTGATGCTCTGGAATTCTTCCCGTTATTCACTTTGTCATGTGTACATCAGAATTCTGGATGCTGAATTTTGATTGTTTTGCTTTTGTTCCGTTGTCTCTTAAGTATCTTTCAATATTTGGTCACAAATAACTGGATTAAAAGGGTTTCTCTTAGATGCCTATGTTACAAGTCGCTTATTTTAACTCTTAAAAAGCAATATTTAAAATGTGACATTTTTTGCAGTAAGTTACTGTTATAGTACTCTTGAGACCAAATCTAATATGCTGTTATACTATTTTGGTGGTTAGCATCATAGATATGATAAGAAAATAAAGCCAATAGTGTATGAGTGCAGACTTATGTTTGTGTGAACAAGACTGCAGTACGATGAATACATTTGTGGCAGGATAGTGTTATACTCTAAGAAATGCTTGTTGTCATTAATGGGTACTACTAAAGGAAATGTTGAAGGAACTGCAGCTTTTATTCTATTCTATGCAAGTTTCAAATGAGTGCTAATTTTGTTTTCCTACATTGTTTGTTGTTAAAGTGCTGGAATTCCTTGTTTAGAATTTTATTTTAGTTACCAGGTCAAAGAACTGTTTATCATAACTCTAAAAACAAATGTCACCATTTTCAGGATATTCCAGGTCTGAATTTTTGAGCTTAAGAAGTTAAGTATATATTATTTATAACTTAAGATGATTGATTTCTTGAATGCGTGTAAGCACATTTGACTGTCCTTTATGATTGGATTAGTGCATTGTGTTGATTGTTATTTTGTAGTTGGCTTTATTCTTTGATAACTATGTTAAGTTGAAAAAGCTAAAGCTCTAAACCTTTCTTAGAAACAATGATCAGTACATACATGTAAACTAAAAATATATGTGCAGTATATTGTATGTATGTATTTACATGCAATATATTGTATACATGCAATCAAATTGTAACAATTCTACCTAAGAAAACTGAAAAATGAAAAAAACAAAGTTAAGTATAGACCCCTGGGTGCATGCTTTTAAAGCTTGACAGCTCCACAGTAGACAGGTGTTATTTGGATCCATAGTCATACATTACGAGGTGTTATTTGGATCCATAGTCATACATTACGGAGTATGATACATAGGTTATGAGTTGCTTTATTCTCTGATCCCCATATATGACAAGTATTTCACATAGCCCTTATTTGTGTGATTTATTTGAAAGCTCAGAATTACATAATATTTAAATTCTCTGACATTATTAACTTCCTATATCTTTAGCCCTCTCAAGTCAGGTAATGTACTTACATAATATCTGAAATCAGCATTTTAAAAATCACCTTATTGACATTTTTAATATTTCATGTTATTAAAGCAGGTCACATATTAAAACACACGAAGTATTAAAAACAAATATTAAAACATTAGAATTTTGGTGGTTATAAATTTGGCTTATACTTTATTTTCAGAGGATATTTTCAGGAAGTATGGCTATGAGGAAATATAAATATACATGAGATATATTTTAAAGAAATGAAACAGCTGAACCGTTGGTTTTCAGTTTTCTTAAACTAATCATTCAAAGAAAGTTGTTAACATTTTATGATTGACTGTAATTAAAATTTTTTTTGAGGTAGGGAAGGTTTCAAGAATGCTTTCAGCAGTTTTTCCACATTTTTTAATCCAGAAAATTCTGTTGGATTGTGCATGATCATTTGCATTATTCAAGTGTTTGGGGAATAGGACATGGTTAGACTTTAAATTGCAAAAACTATATAGGAAGAGTTGGTATGGGGTTTGAATTTTTGATATATTGCTGGCTGACCTAGTTCTTTCTTTGAAACTAAAAAGATACTGGCAGTGGTGGTTGTAGTTAATAGTTAACTCTTAGAATGCATATAGCACTGTTCTAGAATTCCAAGGTAGAGAAGATGAGGAACTAAACTTTTTAGGTGTTTAAGATCCCTTGCTTTCAGAAAAAAAAAGAATATGAAGTCAAAAGATAATGTCTATGAAAAAAATGTTGTTTGGACATTTCCCTTTGTGTTCCATGTGCCCTTTATCCAAATCACTATGTCATATGTTTTAAATGTTTGACATTTCAATTGCTTCATAGAGGTAGATGCTCAAATGTATTCTTATCAATTTATTATTTTCTTTCTCCTTATTTTTCTTCTGATTATAGAATTTTAGGCTTCCTTTTCAATATTTGTTTTCCTCTCCTGATTCCATCTCTTTTTTTTAAAAAAAATATCTATAGAAATGCAAAACCCATAAATGCAAAACTCATTCTTAACTCACATTAATGATGCTCTTGAAAAAGTGGCTGTACAGTTTGACTGTTGGTTATTTATATTTCTGTGGATACGAAATCTTTGAAAGCCCATACTTTAATAAAAAGTGTTGAATTATTTGTTTATTCCATTAATAGAAAAAAGTTTACAGATTTTTACTGTTGTTTTTCAAGAACCATTTTTTTAAATAGAGGTATTGGGGATTGAACCCAGGACCTCATGCATGCTAAGCACGTGCTCTGCCACTGAGCTATACCCCCACCCCCCAGATTTTTGTTGTTAAAAGCAAATTGTGAACTGCCCTGTGCACTACAGGCAACCTTTAGTTTTTTTTTTTCACAACAGTAGAAGAACAAGTTTAGCTTGGATAATTAGAATCAAAAGGTAATCCCAAATCTTGTCCATTTAATTTTCTCCCACATCCAAATATTTTGAGTGGGATAATAGCAAGAATAATCTTGATTTATGTGAGTTTTTCCTTCAGGCAGGCAAGAAAGTGAGAGGAATTAGAATCATTGTTCCCATCCCCCCTTGATTTGTTTAATCTCCCTTGAATACTGGAGTGGTTTGCCATCAGGTATTCTCATTCATTTGCTTTAGAGCAACATACTTGAAAAGGAAAGCTGTAAGAAGATGTTAGTATTTTTTTTATTAAGTTAGAAAATCAAACCAATGTTGAAAGAAGAAAATGGTGGTTGTCAGTATGTACTCTGAAAAATCAAAACCAAACCAAACAAACAATAAACAGAGTCACTATATGGTTTCTGCAAAGTGACCCTGAGATTTTGTTCACATGGCAGTCTTGATAATAAATATTGTATTTTCTCCTTTTGGGGATTTCCAGGACATTTTTTTTTAACCTTTACACATAATTGATAATCCCATTAAGGGCACTAGGTAAAGAATGCAATTCAGTTGAGATAGAGGTAGGATTTTTTCAATGCTGAGAATAGTATGGTTTGATTTCCACCTTTCCAAAGTTCCATTTATAATTTGGTCAACATTTCGGTTTTATTTTTCCTATGAGAATCATTTATGGTGTATCTAGTGTCCCATAACTTTCTTCTGGGGCATTGGCTGAGTATGTAAAGGGAAGAGTGCCACCTACTGAGTCACCAATAGTCACCTACTTCTTTAGCACCTGGATTTTCCTATGGAGGAAAGCCCGCCCATTTTGGCAATAATGACTAATGAATTTGAAGTTGGTATGAGAACATTTGACCCTACAATGAAATCAGTCTGTGTGTGACACCTCTAAGATTTTTCTCTTCTAGAAATAGGAATATATGTTTGTGAATCAGTGGACCAGAAACGTATAATTTCTTGTATGGGTCAGATAACATAGATGAATTAAGATGTGATGTTAGGAAAATCATTTGCCTATGTTAAGTGTACAGTAGCCTACTTTTTCTTGGGCGGGGATCTTTAGCTGGCTTATTGTTTTCATAGTTTTCCTTTGAAAACATTTTTCATCTCAGATTACTAAATAATGCTCTTGACAGTATGCTGGTATGCACAATTTTATAGTTACCCAATCCAAATTTATCACTGGTTTTCTTTAACAAAAAATCTAAATATACTGAAAAAATGAGAAGTATATACAAATTTTCTAAATGAGTTTAGCTCCACGTTATCAGCATTAAAGCATTACTAGGAGGACGATAGAAACAACAGAGTAGGAGAAACCTCTGGTGATTTGAAACACAGTTCAGTCATCTCTCATAAATTTAAGATTAAGTGTCATATATGGGTGATAAAAGTGGAATAGGCTAGTTTTTATATACTCATTATTCACTTAGTTTGTCTTTTTCAATTAAAGCCACGTCTGTCTTTTTCATTCCACCAAGTTTTCATTTCTTTTTCAATCACATAGTGAACATATTATTATAGTTGCTACCTAATAGTGAATATAGTGTAAATCTCAGACTAATGCTTTATTCACTGTGGCTTCTGTGAAAATGTGTGGTAAAAAAATCATGATTATTATAAGATACTATTTATCAAGAGTCATCTTTTTGAGGTGAAAGGTGTTCACCTCTGTTCTTCGACAGTCCGCTTTTTCAAAATAAATCATTTAGCCTCCAAAGCCAGTTTTGAAAATTTTGTTAGATGATTGGATTCTAAGACTCAGGTGTATTTTACCTGTCATACTGTGAGAACTCCTGTGCTTGTTCATTTCTCTTCTTCCATGTTCAGAAAGTCCACAGTTCAACTATAACCTGTAAAAGTGCTAGGTAATCCAGAGAAAGACATTTATTAGAGCAATCAATAACTTTTTAATTAGCCATTTCCCAATTTTGGGCATTTGGCTTAATTGATCTACATGTGCCCAGTTTAACTGATTTTTTTATATTTCCACCAGTAGGTGTTTGATCAGACCATACCCTCCTTTAACAGAGAAGAAAGGCTTATCTTTTTGTTTGGATGCCAGCTTAAATTGTAGGCTAGGATCCTTACCACATTAAGTTTAGTGATAACACCTCAGTGAATACAAAGTGAAACCTGGCCCAATTCATAGAGAAAGATGTGGAATTAAGTAGTAAAGCCATTTGGGGTATGGTTTGATTGATTTTACTTATTTTATTGATCTGGGGCTCAGCATATGATAGTGAATTCAGTCTAATTCTTGTCCCCCTCTCCTCCACAATTCAAGCCATCACAGAGGGGGTGTGTGTGTGTGTGTGTGTGTGTTTGCCCCTTGCTTGCCAACCCAGGTAAGTATTGGGTGGTTGGGGGACTAGGCAGAAGACATCAGATATTGTTACCTTTGTGACTTGTTTACAACCTCCAGCCTGGAAGTCATACTCCAGGCTGTTAGCTGGTGGAGGATGGTGAGCGCAAGTGGTCAAACCTTGGCTTTCTTGAAGAGTAGGAACCTATGCTGTGTATTCATGTTGGAGAAGCTGACAGTTTATTGTTTGCAAGACTTTAAAAGCTTTAAAAAAAAACTTCGTGTGGTTTCAACATTTCACAGTATGATCAGTATGAAAACTGGCAGGAAGCTGTTAGCCTGTGTTTGTGTGTGTGTGTGTGTGTTAGATACCTGTCCTAGCCTCTCGGGCTCTAGGGGTTGATGGGGTGGTAGATTTTTCTGAGGGGTTCATATGTTCAGGAAAAGGAAAAGGGAAAATTGGAGTACCATTCGGTTATTTGGTGTGTGCTAAGTATTTGCCTCTTAGGGGTTGCGACGGCTATTGAGAGGTTTCTAACTGAAACTGAGGATTGCTGAGCCAAGACGTGATGTCATCTTTTAATTTTGTTTTCAGACCTTAACATTTATCTACAGAGCAGTTGTAAATCAGATCTTTGCAGCGGTCCTCTCCCCCAGATCTTTACAGTTTTACCCGGAGATAAGGTTTACTCTTGACAGTGTTAAGGTTTTACAGGAACAAAAATCACCACCACATTTGTATTCGCTGGATAACTTTCTTTGGTGATGACTTGGGGGCAGAGGCGGATGGAGATGGGGCCAATTCTGGGGTTAAATGCCGGCGGCGCTGACCTGCGGTCTACGTGACGGGGGGGGGGGGGACGAGGGGGAGGGCGGAGCGGTCGGGGTTAGACCTGGTGCGTAGGGGGCGCCCGGAACTGAGTTTCTCCAAGTGGCGGGGTGGGTCCCTAAGCTTCTCCTCTCCCGCAGTGAGTATGCGGTTGAACCGATCCCTCTGAGAAAGAGGAATTCTAACTCACCAGGCCAAGAGGCCAGCGAGGAGGCAGGCTGACCTTTTCTTGTAATCAAATTACGAATTACGGCTGTTCCCCGAATTACAGACAGTCTGGAGTCAGTGAAATCTACATATTAACAGAGGGACACGACCCCTGAAGGAAGGTAGAAGAGGGCTAAAGCGCTCGCTGGTTTACCGTTTGCAGGGCTATTCAGAGCACAATAAAAAGCTTCAAATCTCTTTTCCAAACAGCCAGAGGAGCGCTTGATTCGCCCAGGACTTTTATTGCCCGCTTTTGAAATATTACCCTGGCTCTGAGCTACAAAGCCGTAGATCCAGTCCCATTTGTTTAACGAGGGCGCTGTCCCAAACGAGTGCTCCCTGCTCACAGCTCCGAGGTCGGAACCCTGGGGTTTAACACTCCGAGTGTTGCAGACAGCGGAGCCCTAGCATCTCAGTGAATCCCGCAACTTTTCAGCGCCCGCACCGTCTTTGCGCGGGGAGGAGCAGGGTCCCTGCTCCGCACAGGGGCTCTGCGAGGGCCGCGGGCACGCCCGGAGGGTCTCCTGTGTCCGGGAGAGGCTGGTTTCGTTCGATTCTAAAATAAATGGGCACAGTGTGGATTTTAAGAAATAACCCAGATTTCAAAAACTTAAAAACCACCCAAATCTGTGGGCACCAAACTAAGATTACTGCAGGAGCCGCTTCCACTTTGAAGTTCTTAGTTGCTAGAAAAAGAAAAACAGCAAAGCAGGTTCTGTGCTTTTCATATCTCCTTTGTGAAATAATTTTTTAAATGAATGTTTATTAAATCTTTTTGGTTGCCTTAAACTCCTTTTCTGGCATAAGTTTTGGAATAAATACATTAAGACACTCTTAAAATACAGAATTTCCGCCTTGCCTAATCTCTGAATCTTCTCCCCCTCAGAAAACAAACAATGCAGATTTTTCCTGCAGTTTCACACTATTTGAACAAGTATTTCCTCATAAAATAGCATAGTTCAATAATTGAAAAATGTTTTGGGGAACTGTTAAGAAGCACTGTCTAGGGCATTACAGCCTTTCGTTTTTTGAGTTTTTATCGAACTGAAAAGACTTTTTAAAGAAATAACTCCTGGGTTGTAATTCGTTCTGTTATTGCTTCCAGAGATAGAAAATAGATCCCGTTTGTTTAAACTTGGATTGTATAATGAAAATGTAAAATAGGCAATTAAATACTCGTGTGGATGAGGGAATTAAAGACAAACACTGAGTGGAAGTAACATTAAGCAAACTATTTGCTAATCATTATGCCAGTGATTCTCCCAAGTATCGAGTCCAGTTGGAAGAGAGAATAAGTAGAGGTGCTACTCCTTCCCTTATTCCACTTCCTTAGCAGAGTCATTGGAGCCATCTCAGAGAAGCCAGTGAGCTCTTTCCATTTCAGCTAATATCTGAATGTCCAGAGGCTGCTTGCTCCTGTGGGTACAAAATTTAGAGTTTAGAGAAGAGCACTTAAAAAATTTTCATTATTTTGAACTCACTTTAGAAGTCTAGGTCTAATTTGCACTGGTGCTGGATTATGTCTCTTGTGCCCCCCCTCTTCAGAATATGGACTGCTCAAGGAAAGAGAAGCTGTGACATTTTGCTTTTGTTTTGTTTTGATACTTACTTTTAACATTAGTGACTAATAGACTTGAAACTAGAAAGCTACTTAAAAATTATTCAAGAATTAAATTTTAATTCTTTCACTTGTCATGTTGAAAGAATCACCTTTACACATTTATTATGATGGTATAGAATAACAGTTTAATCAACTTCGCTCATTGAATCAAGGTACTTTTGTAATCAAGAATTTAAGATCAATTACAACATTCTATCTCAAATGCTAGGTTTTAAATTACTAATTGTAAATACAGTCAAAGGTTATTTGTTATACTGTTTTGAATTAATTAAATGTAATATTATTGTATGTTTAGATACTACCTTTTTATCAGTGTGAATTAGGAGACAAATTAGTTAAATAAAAAGAAAGTAAAACATATACACATCTCTTCAATTTCAAATATGGATGGTTTATAGTTATACCCACTGTAATTTTTTAAATGTTATCCTCCATATTAGATATCTCAAAGTGAAAATTGAAATTCTGAATATAAAATTAATTTAAAGTTGTACACTATTTCATGAATAATAAGAGTGGGGCTATTAAAAAGTCAAACCAGTAAGGGTTTGATGGAATTGTATGCTAGAGAGAATTAGAAAGCAGAGTAATTTAGAAGTTTACTAATTAAAAAAAAAGCTATGTGAAAATGTTATATGAGATCGTGGAAATCTTACCTCTTGGTTACTGTATTTTTCAACAGTAGATGAATCTATTCTTGCCACTTTTTCCTTTATTTAAAGAAATCTTTCCAGGTAGTAATACCAAGGCAGGAAACAAGAGCACACAAAACCACACAACTTATTATCATTTTTATTTGAGAATAGCCAGCCAGAGTAGGTGGGGCAGGCAGGAAAGAGGAGGGTTTGATTTGGGAATCTTGGCTAGAAAAAGGGATTAATTTTTTCCTTTAAAGCATTAAGCATTGCATATACCTGAAAATTGATTATGCTGGTAAAGACATGCCTTTGCCAGAGACATTAGCTTATGTTGATATAATATTGTGAATGACCTGTTCATGCAGGAACTTACAGAATACTATAAAATGATAGTAACTCATGCATAAAAGCTCTATGCCTGCTTATATATGAATTTGTTTATGGGGCACCATAGTTTATTAAAACTTGTGGGTTTCTTCCTGGTTTAATGATGCCAGACATCCAAATAGCATTTGCTGTGCTAAGCATAAGTAGAGCATACAAATTTTATTAGCTAAGTGGTGAACAGATTTGTCCAACTTAGTATTTGAAACATACTTCAACTGTTATGCTTTGGATTGATAAATAACTGTAACAAATTGTACAGATATTAACACTTATGGGTAGAAACAATCATTATCCTATTTGTCTTCACAAAAAGTGATTCTTTCCTATAATTTGTATCCTTTTTCTTATATTTCATGATTTAGATGTTGAAACATTTGTAGCAGACACACTGAGAGGGGAAAATTTATCCAAGAAAGCAAAGGAAAAGAGAGACTTCCTTATTAAGAAGATAAAAGATGTAAAGTCTACGTAAGTCACCTACTTCCTTTTATTACTAAGTTTTTACTTAGAAGAAACTTTGTAATTAACATTTTTATGAAAGATTGATTATTGTGGAATTAAATTTTTATGTTCTAATTTAATTGGTGTTAAGTATTTTTAAAGGACAAACTATATTTCTACCATAATAGTTTTTAAAAACAGACATACTTATCATAATACTCTTTTTGTAAAAGCTCTTGATTATGTATTTTTCTAAGCATTCTTGCAAATTCCAATCGTTTATTTTGACTATCTGAGGATATATTTGGTTTAAATGGTAAGATGTAGGTAGGTTGAGAATTTTAAAATAAATATGGAAAATACCTCCAGATACTGAAGTGAATAAATGCAATATAAGTTGTAGGTATTAAGGATATATTCTGATTTTACTGCTGTAAATTAGGTCTTTAAAAATATTTTCATTATAAATCCATAAGCCTTTTGAAAGATCATTTCAGGATAGGAAGTAGTTTTTTCTCTGTATGTATACTTATAATATAGATTTTAAAGTGGATTTGAATTATTGCCACTGATTAGACCTTGTTTTGATTTGTCAACCCTTATTTTAAATATAATGTTCTTGTTTTATTTTGCAGCTATCTTCAGGAATTTCAAGACAAAGGTAAATTTTCAAGTTTGTCAGACTTGATTTTTTTCCCTTGCAGGGGTTTTCAATAGGGATATCTAGCACATACTGAAATTTGATAATTGGAATCAAAATTTAAATTTCCATGTTGTGTACATAGACTTTCAAGATGAGAGTACTAGCTCCCCCTGCTGAGAATAAAATTAAAAAGCATATCCAAAATCTACCCTGCACAATCTTCTGATGCAGAAATCTGTGTTTAACGTTCTTAAGTTTTATGTTTCTTAGAGTTCATTGTGGCAGTAGTTTGTTAAGAAAGATATATACCTGCATTTACACATGGAAGGGTTTGGTAAGGCAGAGGTGAGATACCAACCCAACACCATTGAACCCTGTAGAGATTATTTTATATTAGTGATGGAAGCAGGAGGGCCTGTGGCTGGGTGCTGATAGGTAATATTTCTAAAGGCTAATTGTTTTAAAAACAGTATCAATCTGTGTTTGAGAACATGAGTAAAATCTTTTTCAAATGCTGGTCTTTATTCTTGTGATTCTTTTGATATGAATGCATGTATTCCACAGACATTTTCAAAGAAGGGCATTTAGTTTCACTTTTTGGAAATATGTGAGAGTGCTGGTAAGCTGATTGTCTTCTTTTAGATTTGAGAGTCAGCTGCTTAGTGCACTGAAGACCAAATCCAGAAAGGCGTAGGAAGTTTCTACTATTCCATGTTTTCAGTTCTGTAAGGAAAACTCGGTATGACCCTTACTTCCATGATGCTAATTCATAGGTCATGACCTGAAGCCTGTGGATGCTGGTATGAGGGTCACAACATGAGGTCAGTTAACCTATGTGGAGCGAGGCTCTCTGTTTGGGGGAAACAGTATGGCATCTTCTAACTGAGCTTAGCAGATACCACAGAGTAATTCATATCTCTGCCAACTGGTAAGTGAGAGCGTAATGACAGTTTCAACAAACCAGACAAACCTAAAATCAAATAGTTAAAAGGAAACCACAGTTTCTTTTCACATTAACTCATCAAGGTCATTGTGACTGGAGGAAGTGAGAATTATAGAATTGTATATGTTTCGAGGATTAGGTGGGAACTTTCCCTTTGGTATTCTGGTTTAGGACTTGTTCAGGTGTTTGGATATTAAAATTACATTCCTGAGATACACATTCTTTGTCTTTAAAGTGAATGGAAGTTTATATAGTATTTGATAGGAACTGAAAACTGAGCCTAGAATATGAGTTCAAATAACACATAATTCAGAGATTCCCCATAATCATTTTCCTCGGAATAAGTCATTTATAGTTCAGTACTGCTGTATTGAGTTAACTAATCGCCAAGAATACCTGCTCAAAAGTAAGCGTGTGGATAAATTAGATGTATACCTTGGAGAAGTATGAGAAGCTGAGTCATTTTCTGCCATTCTATTCTCAAAGTGTAATTCAGCTTTGTTCTAAAAAGACTATTCCTATAGTTTGTTAGAAATAATAAAGGAAAGTTAGTACAGGCATAATAGTTGAATAAGCAGTTATTCAAGATACATATTTTTTGAAGTAGAAATTTATTAATAATCAGATCTCTACATTGAATAAATTAAGTTCATCTAAGTATACTTTGATAGTGCTGCTTTTTTTTTTCCTTACATTTTCTTCTTGGGGCTTTTGGATTATCTTCATCCAAGGAGACCTGGGCAGAATTCCTTTTGGCTGTTTCCTCTTTCTCTCTCTCTCTCACTCTCTCTCTCTCTCTCAGGTCAATATGGGGTCACCATGAAGTAAACAGAGGCTCTTTTCCTTCTTTTTTACCTTTATACTCATATTTGTTTTACATACTTTATTTATTTATTTTTTATGTGATAGTTAAGTACCATTTTAATATCATTCTTGGGAGAAAAAAGGACCAGGAAGAGAGTTCTTAAGTAAAATGAACTCTATTCACATTTGTTTGTTTCTATTAAGTGAGTTACTAGTTTCTCTAATGTACACAGATACCTATCATCCTTCCTTCCTTTCCTCTCACATCTTTTCTTACAGCCTTCAAATGTTGTACATGATAGAATAATTATCCAACTCTAGTTTTTTATTCTTAGTTGCAATATAGCCTGATAATATAAATTATACTCCTAAATATAGTCTTCATACACTAGAATTATGCTCACTGTAAAATTATTTTACAACAGAATTATTATTTTAGAATTTGTTCTCTGTCTCATAACAAAGTCGTAGCTCTCTTAAATGTGACTTGAAATAATTATTTTTGTGATGAAAATATATTACTAATTGAATAAAGTCTATTATTGACTGAGTTCAAATAGACTTTTCTAATATATATTAGATATATGATTAAAAAATTTTTACTTGTAGTTGTATCTTGTCCTTATGTTAGACTTGTTTTACTCCAGTGATGATTTAGGTATTATTATTTTCTTTTTAGGGTGATTAAGATAATATGAAGAAACCTATGCATGACACATAGTAGGTGTCCAATAAATATTATTTATTTATTCTCAGATGCAACTTCATTTATCAAGAGGATTTAGTAAATCTTGATTTATAATTCCATTTTCAAATAATTTTTGAGGAAATCATAAATTATTAAAAGAAGGGCATGCAAATATTTCAAGAGAATATTTTTCGAATTTGCAAAGTATTGGTGTCTACAGCTTAAAAAATGTGAATATATTGCTTTCAATTCCCTTTGGATGTCATAACTAAAAACTTTTCATTTTCTCCTTTAAAATATTTTTCCTCTAATTAAAAAAGTCATTTAATAGATTTTGTTCTTAAGACTCCATTGATATTGTTAAATATGAATAGATTTACTTAGGAAGCAATTTCCTTTGACCTCATTGGTATTAAGTTCATTAATGGACTAAACTACTTTTTTGAATGGCAGGGCTGTTAGGTGAGAAGGACCCATTTTAGTTTGTTCCGATGGAATTCTTTAGAACAGCAGAAAAGTCAGACTTTTGGATGTTATTTAATTTCTTTTTCTTTACCCTTCCTAACATATATGTTCTATTGAAAGTTAGCTCCCAGTGAAATCTGATCAAATAACTTGCAGCTCCCCTACCCCCACCCCCATCTCTGGCCTTGTACAAATGTGTTAAGCATGTTTGAGATTATGGTTCCTGTAGTAGTAGAAGTAGATTTTAAAGGTAGTGCTTGAGAACAGTATCATGCTTTTAAAACTCTGCCTTATCTTTGCATGCTTTAGATTAGCCCTTCTATGGTAGAAGACTTATGAAGAGAATCTTATTTGTGGTGACTTACATCTTTCAAAGTTTTAAGAACTACAGATTCCCTTAAGAAGTTAAATGCTTAATTCTGTCTATTTAGCTGTATTTTATTACTTGAGAAATTAGTTTCGACAAGTGAACTGAGTAGAAAATTAGAAATTAATTTTTTTCACTCAAGTAATTTCCCTCACGACACTTGCTTTTTAATACTCTTTAAGAGGGAATGGTTATCATCTGAATTTTAGGTATATTATTTAGTTTAATATTTACCTGATTGCTTTTTAAAAAAGACTGTATTTGATGAAAAAGCAGTAGGTGGGTTTGTCTTCATTGGTGGTAGGAATCATGACTGTTCAGTTGCTGTTGGGCTTGATCTCCAGGCATCTAGGAGAATGTTAATTGATCATGAGCCATATAAAAAAGAAAGGATGATAGTGATTTGAACCCAGCTATTATAAATTTTGAAGTATTTTTCAAAGAAATATGCTGCTGTGGTACAATTAAGCCTTGATTTTGCTGTGTTACTTAAGTTGCCAATGAAATTATAGGACAAGAGGTCTTGGATCATTGTCTTTTAGACTGTTAACTTTGTATCATTAATTAAACTTTTGAAAGTTGTGGGATAAATCAAATGCTTTTCTAGGGAAACAAGAAACAGTATTAATGAGCAACAACCCCATAATTATCCTTGTGAGTACATAACAGGGACACATTCATGTCTTTTCTTTGCGCAATAACTTTTACAAAGAAGTATTTTTAAACTGATCATTAATTTTATGGCCACAGAAATGAGATGCAAAATTTATGCTGTTGTCATTGGCACAGGCTCAAGGCACCACTGACATTATGTGTGAGTGTAATAGAATGGCTGCCAACTAATGATTCTGTAGACATTTCATTTGAGCATGCTTTTCTTTTAGATGTCTGATTAGGCTGTAATGCTTTCAATTATGTCTGTAAATTGTATCGGGTACGTTTACCTGATGCTCATTGTTGCTTCAGAGTTCAATTTTCTATTGCATAAACACAAGTTGAACATTTTCCTTTTAATTTATCGAAGTCTTTGCAGGTATAGCTGCAAATACTCAGCCCCTGGGAGAAAAAAATGCTTTGCACTACTCAACAGCGACCCCTGTGTTCAATTAAAGCTCCTTATTATCAGCAGCTCTTTGTTGCGTTGAAAAAAAATAATGGGGGGGGGCATGGATCATCACTGGGACAACACTAAAATGAAGAAAACAATTTTGAAAAATGAAGGTTTTTTTTCAACTTAATGCAAGTTTAAAAGAAAGTAACCCCCCAAAAAATTTTTTAAAAAAGGAAATAACTCTGTACAGCTACCACAGAGATTTTTATTCTTTACTTTCTGAGTTAATTCAGGGGAAGCTTAAAAAAGAGAGAGAGAGAAGAAATGAGGCCAGTAACAATGCTTAATTTATTTTGCCTTAGGTAAAAATAAGTGTCACAGTAATTTTTTCCCCAAAAAACCAGTATTTGAAATTAACTGCAGTTCTTAGAATAGAATGGGTAAGTTGAAGACAGTTTCACTTTACTATTTATAATCCAAAAAGTAGATTTAAAAGAAAGCAAAAAACAAAACCAGAGGTCTTCAATATGTTGGTGACTCATTTGTGTAGAATATTCCTAACTCATATTAAATATCATTGAATTTATAGCTTTAATAATGATCTTTTTGCTGTATGTATGTATATATGTGAATATACATGGATATATATACAACAATATATGGTGGATATTATCAAAGATAATAAACAAATTCTGATTTTTAAAACTTAAAACATTTTTTGGTTTATTTCCACATAGAGTTTAATCAATTTAAGCCTGAGCATCTGAATTTTTTTTTCAAATCCTTTCCATAGGGTCCTTGGCTATATTGTTGTATTTTTATATTCATAATAGTTTAATGTGCTAAGTGCTAAGTTATGGTGATATAGTTGAAGTATCCTAACACTTTTTTTTCCCCACAGCAAGATTTCTTCATGATAGGAAATATCCTTAGAAAATTCATAACATAAAAATTCTTACTTTATTAAGAATAGAAGGATACTCCGGCAACTAAGAGAAGTTGAGAATTTTGTGATCTTTACTGCTGTATATTCCATGAGCTGTCATTTCATGTTCAAACATATTTTCACTAACACTTTATGAGGTTCTCTCTTACCTCGTATTTTAAATCAGATCACTCTTCTTTCTGTAAGAGAAATATAAGGGATCACTGAATGTTCTGAGAAGTACTCTGAACATCTCAAAAGAAAGGGAAATTAAAATCTGAAGAATGAGTAGTATTTGTACATGTTTCTTGGAATTTTAATTGGGGAAGAAACTTCATCATATATGGTGCATATAATGGTGGAATCACTAAAGACAAAATGATAGTCATCTCTATATTCTCCTCTTACTGTCTTGAAGGGTGATTACCCCCCCCCCCCAATCTTTACTCTCAGGGTAGGGATGATGAATGCTGATGAAATATCAAAATTATAAGGAAATAGACATGAATATTGATTTTCTATTACTTTGACAGTGTTGTCTTGAAAGAGGTTATTTCCTCTAACAAAAATATGGTGAAGGTAGGGTGCTACCCATCAGATGGATGCAGAGGATACAGATATCCTTTTGGAAAGCCCAGTAGCTTTCACCTGGATCTGCCCAGCACCTATGATCTAAAATAATACTATAGGCATTCTAGGGTTCCTATGGAGATATTTTTCACCATGCTTTTTGGGTAATACCTGAGGTGGTTGGTTTTCTCTTGAGTTTTTAACAAATAACATAAGTTGTTAACAGTTAGATCATTGATATCATGTTAAGCATACATTTTCCTTTGTTGTTGAATATGGGTGAAGAATTAGTGCTTGTGTATAACTAAGATATAGCAAATGTTTGATTCACTCTTTTAAAGTTATTCTAAATAAGTATGTGGAAAAAACCCCAACCACAAGATTTTATTGTGTGGATTAAATCATTTCAAACCAACCAATCACAACCTAAGATTTGGAAATCATGTAGGAAACTGGCTGGAACATTAAAAAAAAAAGGGTAACATATCACTGAATGAGAAATTGTTTAGTTTGTAAATCACCTTGTTTGAACTTAAAAGAATGATATGAGTTTTAAAGCAGTTTTTCCCATAAAGGATTTCTGTTCTTGAAAATGCAACTGAGTATTTTTAATCTGTACTAATGTAATCCTGTGATTTGTTATGAAAACATAAAATGTTCATTTGGCTTTGAATTTTGAATTTCTCATCATCGTTTTCCCAGTTATTGAGTAGGTAAATGGAATTAACTTGTATTATTTTCTCTATTGTGCTTTCCATGCTTTTTTGTTGTTGTTATTATTTTGGTTTTGCTTGTTTGTTTTAGAGACACACTATATTTTAACCTGCTTCTACTTTTTTTTTTACTCGTCTTTGTACAGACCATCATAATTTTGGAATTTATATCCTTTTGTACCAGAAAGAAGTGGTTGTATGCTGACCCTCAAAAACTCTTACTTTATCTAAATTACAGTGGATATACATTAAAATAGTTCAAAAAGTTTTTTGAGTTTTCCATGAAAGTGACTGAATTTAATAGTAAAGTTTGCCTCTTTGGCAAAGTAACATTTTTAAAGATGGCTAAATTATAAAAGGCTTTTCTCTGATATTTTTTCTAGGTGATGCAGAAGGTGGAGAAGAATATGATGACCCTTTTGCCGGGCCTCAGGACAATATTTCACTAGCCTCAGAAAGATATGATAAAGATGATGAAGCCCACTCTGACGGTATGTGACATTTTCCTATAGAATATACCTCTTGGCACTCTAACCTAAAACAATGCAATGTGTAAAGGTGGTGGTCTTGTCAGAAAGCAGATGAACACAGATGCCTCAGTTAACTTACCTTTACCAGAACCTTTTAAGGAACAGAAGAGCTCTCTCTAGTGGTTTTCCTAAGTATGTAGTTCCTTCTTTCCCTAGGACATTTTCTTTACTAGAATTTTTAGGAGAGTGCTTGCATCATCATATGAATATTATTAGTAAATTTGTTGGTTAATTTAATATTATCATATTCTTGCGTAATTTTATTGTGCTGCTTAATGGCTTGTTGTATTATTATTTTATAAATAATGAAAAAGGTTTTTGATCTCTTTTTTCGTGAAAACTTCATACAAAGTGGGTTTATAAAATATTTAATTATTCCTACATTACCTTCTCTCACTGGGACAGGTTTTCATCAAATACTTCTTTTAATACACATTTACAATTTTCTAATTGTCACCTAAAAATGTCCCACATTAAGTAGTGATATTATAGTGTTTTGTATTAATTGAAATAGTAATAAACTTGATTATTTATCTCTTAGTAATTTTTAAAAACTTGCCAAAGTTATGAAACTTGTTTTTAGTGTAGCATGTGCTGTCTCTGTTATAGCCACCCAGTTGAGTGCATCTGAATTGCAGAGACCTATAAGAGTGATATATAGTTACAAATTAAGAATGTGTATTGATAAATTAGCCATGCATATTAATTTGTGGCACTCAAAGTTTCACACAGACACAGAAATGAATAATGTTTTCTGCCACTATATGATGATCAAACTGCGCAGTTCCATCTCTAAATACAATTGCTGAATGAAAATATGCTTCCTGCAACAGAGCACTCCACATTTTATGTTATCCAGATTATTCCCTTTGGAAACATAAATTGCTTTTATGAGGTATAAAATTATGTCTATTGCAGAACAGGGATAAGTCAAGTACATGCATAAGTGATAAACATTCTAACCACTGATTCGGAACGACACAATCTTTTTTTTATATTCAGAACTTTGTACAATGTGTAGCAACAATAATCTTACCCATTTATGTTGAATTTTACATTTTGGCAAACATTTAATTTCTATTTTTAAAAGAAAAAATTTCTTTCTCTTATATTCTGTATTTTTTTAAAAGATACACATTTCTCTTCAGTCACACTTATTATCTGAAACAGAGCATTACCCTTTCTAACCTGATCTTCAAAAGCTACTAGAAAATGTTTTATAATTGATGAAATAATATTTTCAGGCAAAACAATGAATTATTATTTGAGTTGAACTTTTTATCAGATATATTACAATTTTTTTGCTTCTCTGTAAAATGTTGGTAGATAGGAGTATATATATATATATATATATACAAAGAGACAGAATATTTATACTCATGAGAATATATATACATACATACACACACAGAATATATTCATAGACTATATATGCTCAGGGTTTCTCAAAATAGCATTAATCTTTTGATGTACAAGGGACATTATGTGCATTCTTTAAAAAATTACAACCTAAGAAGTCCAACAATTAAATGCCTGTGATAGGCAGTGGTATATTAGGAAAAGTGTATTGTAACATACATGATTATTGTGTTTTCTTTCTTAAGAGTAAATAATTTATCATATCATACGTTATCATATGTTTGTTTTCATAGTGAAATATACAGGAAATACAGTAATAGCATGAGAAAGATTTGTTAAAACATCAATATTTAAATCTTTTAAAATAAATTATATTCATGTATAACAAATTTTTTGTTGAATATAATTGCATTTTCATTAGCATTTAAGCAATTCTTAAACATTGAAAATTAACTTTTGATTTGATTCATTTTTGGTATATAAATACTATTTTTGATAATTTTATATTTTCTTCTGAGTATACTATAATTTTAAAACTACCACTTGGACTTTTAATTTCCATTCTAAAATATCATCTAGTCATATCAGTTTTCTCCCTGCAACTTAGATTTTATAGGTGTTCTTTCCTTTGCTGAATAAATTTTCCTTCATTGTGTGACCTCAGTCTAATGATATATTAATTATAAAATGATAATGCATTTAACAAGAAGTATAACTAAATTAGCACAGGTCACCAAAAGGCCTTTTGTCAAATCAGATTGTTGTTTTGTCCTTTTGACTTTTACCTTATGGTGGGCACTAACAAAGTATCTGAACTTTGATGGATTTTAAACTCTAAACATGATATGTATTTTTCGTAATGCTAATATAATTTTCAAGGTACTGAAAAGGTCAGACCTGCACATCTCTGTGTGCATTCTAAGTCTGTCTTTTCCTTTAATATTTCTTTTTCTCTGTTCCTCTGGTTCAAAAGTTCACTCAGTTCCCAAATGGCTACCTAATTTTCCAGTTATTCCCTCAAGCCATATGTGTTTTGGTTTCTTTATGGTTTATTAGGTACTGTAGGAAAGTAGCATAAGTTATATCTTCTAATGAAATTCAAGCACACTTCAGTGATGCTTTGACTTGATTGCTGGTAGCAATTAAATCACAGCCAAGGAGAATAATGCATAACCTCACAAGGTCCAGACACCCTATAGAAATTGAAAGAGGATGAAAACAGAAAACAAAACAAAGTCTCCAAACCCTACCAGACACGCTGTTTCCAGCCTGCCTTTTTTTTTTTATTGGCCAACTGCCTGATTGATAGCAAAATCATAACTTGCTGCATGCTAACAGGCAGAGTTCACTTGTAGGTTATTGTGAGCTGATAAAGGGTTAGATGGAGTTTTGATTTTCGCATTGGACCTTGGTACACCAGATTAATGGAATTTCAATGAGCGGCTAGAGTAGCCACAGCTTTGTCAGAGAAACAGATGGAGATTCTATAGTCATGTCTACTCATTAATACTAGTTGCCTGAAAGGTGTGCTGCTTCTCTATACAAAAGAGTTGATATAATTGATTTTTGAATGGTGCGTTGAAAAAAAGTACCTTATTGATGACTAGAATTGTAACATAGATGGTGACAGATTTATGTAAAGCTTATAGGTTAAAAATATTGTACTTTGTAATTTTTTCTTCTGTCTCTTTGGAAACACTTTATTTTTTTGAGGGAAAATGCATTTTATAAATGATTGCATGGCTGCTGTTACTTTCATTTTGATTTGGTAATATTTATAAAAATTATATTTATTAGAAATTTCATTTTATCAGCTTTGTACCTTTTTTTTTTCCTGGAAAATTTTAAACAAATCCTAGTGGTTTCTAGACTCCTATAGATCACTGTTAGAGGTTTTATGCTGTTGTATGGCTGGACATATTGAAGTGTAAATAGAAATGGTGCATGTCAGTAATCAGATAAAATTAGAGATAATGAAACTCAAAACCTTAAAGAAGCACATCCCTTATCATACACGTTAGAATGTTTGTTTAGACATTAAAGCGGTAGATGCAGGGTAGCTTTTAGATACTATGTAATGACTTGGGTTTCCATTTTTCTATTCTGAAATCATTTTTCATTTATTTTCGTTATTTGTGAAAGAAAGCTTCTAACGGTACAGCATTGTGGAGAGACCCTAAGGTAAGGTGAAAGAATTCAGTGAGCTGGAAGACATATATTGGCTCTGCCCGTCGATGATAGGTCGAAGGATCCCAGTGGACATTTGTTACAAATCTGATTCAGTCCTAGACCATAATCACTTTGTGGATAAGAATCTGGAACCTCTAGGGTATGCATATAGGAAGATTAGAATGAAGCTAAAGATATAAAATAGTCATTTATTGTCCAGGTATCATCCTAACTAAAAATTCCGAAGTAACATAGGTTACTAAAAACTATAGGCATTACAAGGACATAGGTTTATGTGAAAAAATACTGGCTTAGGTATGGATCTATTTTTAAAGTTTGGTATTAAGAAAAGAGGCTAAGCTATTTTGATCATAATTGATAATAGTAAATAATTTTTTTCTTTTTTGGTATACTTTTTCTTAAAGAAAATCCAGTGTATGAAAATTTGGATTGATAAAACATATAAATCAATTGTTCCAAAGGATTGCTTTAAGAAGGCTTATCTCCGTGATGCCTATAAATAATGAACTCTTATAATGCATCTAGAGCAAGCTTAGATGTAAACCCACCCATGTGCACACAGACTTAATGTGTAAATTTTTACACATAACACACCAAACTTTTGAGGAAGATATTTTTCATGTAACATTCAGTTCTTAGAAAGCCAAGCAATTCATGTTTTACTTTTCTCTGGATTCTGGTAGAATATGAAATAATATTTAAAACCAGGAAAAACAGGTTCTTTGAATAACTTACCATTTACAGTAAAAGTTTTCTAAGTGTAGTATTATGTGGTTTTTGATAATAAAAATCATCTTTTTGTATTTTATTCTGAGAATTTAGATTAGTTTGCAACTTATACATACGTTTGTATTCATAACACTTTATTGTTGTACTTGGGTGTCTTTTTTTTTACTTTTTGGGGGTTATTTTAATATACCAATTGCTGGCTTGTGTTATAGTAGTATAAGAACAATGATTAAATATTTTAGTCCTTTTCTAATGTGTGTAGTGTAGCTTCAAGTACTTTGGTAGAAGTGAAGTGTTACAGTTTTGGGGAAATGATAAAAAGTAGAAAACATGTCTTTAACACTCAAGATAAGTGTTGCATGATTCAAGATATAAAGTAACACAGATGTAAAATATTTTTATAACACTAAAGTATGTATTGAATAAAATAAAAACACATAGCCATTGAGAATCATCTTTCTAATTTTGATGTCATTGAATAGGAAAGTACTTCAGTGTAAAAACAAAGTGGGCAAATAATATAACAAAGTGGGCTAGATAAGAAAGATTGCAAAGGTAATAAAACTCAACATTATGAAAAATAATGCGTCTTTAATACAGTAAATTAGCAGTTATTTACACAATTCATGAAGACAAAAGCAAGGTACTTTGACAGAGCAATGGGGAATTCAAAAGTTCCTATT